CCTGTAATTACTGGGTGATGATATAGTGTAACTGGTAATTATTGGCTTCAATGCTGTGTTATCATAATGGTTCCATAAAGTTAACTTAAAGTTACAAAAAATTTGAATAATTTAACGCAACGAAGTGCTTTGAAGGCATATAGATGTGTATTTAAGCACCTTCACCTTGTCAAACGCCACGTGCTGGTTGGTTCACTCGTCAAAATAAGCTAGATAAATATAGCCACCGAACCGTGTCCCTGTGTATTTGATACCATATATCTAAGTTAGTACTACTAAACCCCCTTAATTTTATTATGAGAAAGAAAAACCTTTTACAGTGTACACACATTTTACAGATACCTGATTCATCAAATACTTACTAGCTTTGGTGTAATTAAAAACCTTCATTTATATCACATTTAACAGCCACAATTCCTTAAAATACTAGGTAATCTACAATATACATGGTGAGATAAAAAACAACAACTAATTTTTACATAATTTGTTTCTTGTTTGTTTGTGGTTAAGTACAAAGGGCTATCTGTGGTCTGCCCACCACGGGTAACAAAACCCGGTTTCTAGCGTTGTAATTCCGCAGACATATTGCTGTACCACTGGGGAGCAATTTTTACATAAATCTGGATTCAATGATAGCGCTTAGCGTGTTTTTGACAAGAATGTTCTTGGGTACAAAACCAATTGAGTTTATAAGTTTTAGTCTTTTTAACTTAGAAACTCTTAAATAAAGATATTAAAACTGAGGAACTATAAAAAAACAAGAAAGTTGATCTTTACATTGTGTAATGCAGTTAGAGTGGCTGAAAACTTAGGCCTACAAGTTAGAACAATGTTCGAGCTTGTAATAATGTTAAAATAAGAAGAAACAAATCCAATTGTCTTTGTATAAGGAGACTGGACGTTGGATTATTTTTATACCCGATAATCTGAAAGAACCTGCAAATAAAGAATCACATTATTAGAATATTAACACAGCACAAGGTGTGCAAGGTGTCGGTCTAATTGTGGATATATACATAACACCAGGGTGTGCCAAAATTATTTTTTATATTTTATGATTTAATAATTAACTACCTAAGGAAATACAACAATGCAGTTTTCAACATTTTATAGCCCAAATCCATCAGTGTTTATTGACATGTTAGTGACTTCTACGTGTGCACCATTAGTGACTCTCAGCACGTCTAACCGATATTCGATTTCAGTCCACGTTCACTGAAACTTGTATACGGTTACTGTGGCGATGGCGTCCGTTATTCTGGCCTTTAACTCCGTGATGTTTGCTATAGGTGTGAAATACACGATATCCTTAACATATCCCCATACTCCTTTCCTGTACTGGCGTCTGTAATTACGCTCCATCACAGTCACTGACTTGGTCTCCGCAAGCCAAACGACACATTGAGCCATTTCCTGCACGGTTGCCATTTTAGAGGGTAACACTACTCACTGGAGTGAAAAACAAAACAAACAAATATGACCAGTGCCGGATTATGTATTTATGAGGCCCTGGGCTAAAAATTTAAATGGGCCCCAGACGTATTCTCACCCTATTTCACCAATAAAAATTATTGATTCATAAAATTTTATTTTCGAACACAGTTAAATAATTGAATCAAAGACTTTGGCCTTTTAATAGGATATGCTTTATTGTATAACGTAATTTGCACATAAATAAGAGAAGATTAACTAAATACAAATATTTATTTAAATATTACACATCTGAGGTAACGCTAAGGGGGACCTCTTAGTTTAGGGCCACAGGGCTCCAGCCCAGTTAGCCCTTGCGTTAATCCGGCATTGAATATGGCAATAAAAACTATTTGGGTTGGGCTACAAGATGATGAAAACTACATGGTTGTATACTCTAAGTTATTTAGGGTTAAATTTTAAAATAGGGATGATAATTTTGGACTACCCTGTAGTTCTGAATTTATCAAAAGGGTCTTCACAAAATGTGGCAAGCTTTTATTAAACATCATAATTCTATTGCCTACAAATAATCAAATGTTTTAATAAATTATTTCTACTAAAGACTAGTCTGTGAATTTCCGAAGCCTATGCTGAGTCAATCTGAATGCAAGGAAATTTTTATATTGATATCATACACGAACAGATAATACAAATTAAGTATTACCTTAAACTTAAAACATAGTAAAAATATGGTTTAGTTAACAATATTATGGAATTAAGTTTTATTATCATTTATGATGTTGTTGGTTATTTTTCAAGAACAAAAACTTTATGATTCTTTCTGATGAAGTCAGAACTGGTTTATTTACAAAATATTACCATTCTTCTTTAAAATATTTGTATAATGATGTCTTAAAAATTTCTAATTTTAACTTCGAAAATTGTTTTATATAGTATGCTATAATTCTTTAATTATAAATTGCCCCCTAGTGGCAAAGCGGCATGTCTGCGGACTTACACTTCTAGAATTGTTTGTTTGTAGTTAAGCACAAAGCTACACAATGGGCTATCTGTGCTCTTCCCCTGCTGTA